AAGCATAAATTACATTTAAAAATATGCTCTCTTATTTTTGTTGGCACAGAATGCTTACCTCTTTAGTAATGGTTGAAAACCAAAGTAAGAAAAAAATTTTAACAACCTAAACATCCAAGAAAGATTATATTGAACAATTCAATGTGGTCAATTCATGTTTTCATTAAACAACAAACATTCACTGTGACTATGTACCTGGACATGGGCTATAAGCTCTATAAATTACACATCTGTGAATTAAAGATTGTTAATGCAAAATATGCACTTATGTTAGTAGTTTTGAAATTGATTTATTTCTATATCCTTGTGTTTAAGTATTTAAATATTTTGACTTAGACTTAAGCAAAGTGAATATGGTAGGAGAAAGGTCAAAATGTTCAATCATTAAAATAATTTTGTAAGAAAAAAATTGCATCATTTTAGAAGGAAGGGCACACAAGGATATTTTATATTCAGCAAGAATAAATTGACCTTTTATTCAATTATGAAAGACTGTTGTATGGTTGGAGCCCTCATGATTAATGCCATTGTGGGGACTCGCCTAGCTAGCAAGGGCACAATTCACCCCTATATCAGGCAACATTCTCCACCTCAGCCTGCTAACCAGTATTTACATGCTAAAATGGAAACAACATTTAATGGATTTTTCTCTTTAAGAGGACAATCAATGGCTGTCTTGATTAGATACCACTCAATTGCTTTGGGCTTGTTTTCATTATAGTGTCTGTATCTACATAGTTCTGAATACCTAAAAAATCTAAAGAGAAAGAAAATCCACAGCTAAATATCCTCTAACTTCTTTACACATGGCCAAGAAATGCAGTGGACACTCTGCCCACTGTCTCTTTCTCTCCCCTTCAGTGCCTGTGGAGCTCAACTTCTTGCTTGCTTGGGAGCTCGTAGTGCTTTCTTACAAAAATTAATTTCAAATAAAAATGTCAGGATAACAACTATTTTCAGCACAAACATCATAACACATTACTAAAAGAGAAAAAAGCCAAAGTCTTCTTGAATACACATTGCTTTAATTTTTGTCCTGATGGACTTTCAGATTATCTTAAAGTGGTCTATTAAAAAAAAAAAATCCTCCTCTTGTAAAGATCTATTAAAATTGCAGGCACTTGGGGAGGTTGGGGAGGGGGAAATGGGTCAAGTTGTAAAATTGATTATGTGAGCTCTCTCTACACGCAGTGCCTAAGTCAGCAAGATGGAAAAACAGTCTCCAGACTATTTTCTGCAGCTACACTTTCTTCTGCAGAAAGGAAGGAAGGAAGAAAGAAAGAAAGAAAAAAAAACATGCTTTTGGTATACTGGGAAACAAAGAGGTAGGGCGGGAGTAGTTCAATTCTGCCCCTGAGTTAGTATAAACATCAGACTGGACTTTTCAAAAGACAAAAATAGCCCAGAAAAAAAATATTTTCATAATAAAAAGGTGGTATATATATATTTTTTCTTGTCTAAATCTGGAATCTTGTCTATCTTATTTTAAACAAGCCAGCAATTGCTAGCTTCAATCTGTTTGGATAGAAAAGAATTTATGTAAATGTTTTGTTCAAGCCCGAAAGGGAAAGAGAGGATAAAATACACAGTGTATGAAAGATGCATGCCCAACTCCAAAGCAGCTTGTTACACAGGGGACAAAAAAAAAAATCCTCTGCCCTTCTACAAGGCACACCCAGCAGCACTCCAGCTCGAATATTATGCCATTTGCAACATGGTTTCAATGACCCCAACAGTAAGAGAGTTACCAAAATTTCATAGCTGTTCTGCTTTCCTCCCTTCCTAGCTCTTGGGGAATGAACGACAGGAGGGAGAGACGGAGAAGGTCAAAGAACAAATAGAAACAAAAATCTCTATTTTTGCACTCTCTCTTCACTTGAGAAAAAGGGGAAAAAAAAAAAACCCAGGCAGATCAATCTGCACAATGCTAAACCAAATCTCTTTAATTCCAGTCAGCTTTTATCATTCAGTCGCTGAGTCTCTGTGTGGAAAAATTCATGCTAATTCCCCCTAGCAACAGCCTCAGCCTATCAGGAGACTTTATGTACCGTGCAGCTGTCTGCCAGAAGAACTCTAAGTAGGTCAGGCCTGTATTTCTAAAAATGCTACGGTCTAGTAACCCCACTGTCCCGTCTGTCTGCCCTGCCCCATAATAACCTCAATTGCTTGGTGACACAATGACATACTATCCTGTTAGAGTGCAATCACATCACGCTACATTATTCTGCACGAGCATGGCTGGGTGAAGGACCCTCCGAGGGGCAGCATTAATCAGACAGCCATTCATGTCCACCAGCATTTCACTCTAGAAATGGGGACTGCATTAATGACCAGCTGTTTGAACTAACACAAGCAAAATAATGTCTTCCACCCTGTTGGGTGCACAGAATACAGCATTCTGATCTGGCAGGTTTCACTCCTTGACTAAATCAAAGATGTGAATTGACTGGGGCTCAGACAACATCGGCTTTGGCAACCTTAAAGTGAGTATATTTAAATTATATTACATGTGATTCAAAAAGCTATTGATTTAATATGCACGGCTCTCCTTGCCTACAATTTCCCCTAATCCACATTTTAAACAGCAACGTGCATACATGGGCAACATAACACATATGTGCATATTGCCCAGAGACCCAACGGCAGAGCTGGACTAAAATTGACTTCACTTTGGGCAGAGAAACAAAGCTGTTCAGGAGGTAATTGTGCAGGATGAACACAAATGCACATACTAAATGCATGCGGTGGAGGGGCACTGAAAACAAATAAGAGTAAACACCCTGAGCCTGCCGGCCAATCAGCTCCTCCCACCAGCTCTTCACGGAGGCTGGAGAGCATGCCAGCACCTCCAGACGCCAGAGACAGGGTGGAGAAGTGAAGGTATCCTCCAACAACTCTCAGTGACAGTGGTACGACCCGTCTCCCCGCAGGATCCCTAGCAAGATGTTTGGCTTCAAGACAACAAAAGCTTCTTCAAGGTATAAATTAAGGACACCGAAAGACTCCGAACCTAGAGTCAAGTTTTGATTCTTTGGTTGATATTTTAGAATCTAATGGGGCATAGGTACTTGCATGCGCTTTTGACTTTCCAGCTGGCATGCACAAACACAAACAAAAGCGATGGGCATATATGGAGAAAGGAGCCCAGCAGTGCAGTGTGGGGCTGTTTGGGACAGTATCTTACAGCTACGGAGCTTGCATACGCAATCTGCATGCTTCCAGGTTCACCGTTCCATGTAACAAACACATTCCCTCCTACACGCTGACCATTCTGCCAGAAAACAGACAGAATGCACCCAGTGAGATGTGAGGCCCCCCCCCCATCCATACTGGATTTTCAAACCGAAAAATGCCTTCATGCGCCTGCCCTTGTGTGAACTATGCTTGATAACTTAGTTATGACTGTCTTTCACACGCTGGGGCACACAGCACACAGCTATTCTTGGAGAGATACAGTCTCTGACGCAACCATGAACCGCTAATTACAAGCTGCTGACATTCTGCTGGGCTCTGCAGCTTTGAAGTTCTGCTTTGTCTTATGGGCTCTTTCAGCGAGCTCCCATCCCTTACCCTCGCTTTTCTCTCTCACTTCACAGCCTTTCTGAATTCCCTCTAGCACAACCTGGAGAAAGGACAAGGAATTATCAGACTTGCTTGGTTTCTTTCCTCGCTTCTCGCCTCCTCTCTCTCTCTCTCTCTCTCTCTCCCCACATAGATCTACAGTTTGGAAGTACAGTAATAAGATCCTGCCTCTGCCCCACCCTCAGGAATGCACCAACAGCTGGCCAAACATAATCCAGCACACAGAGCCGCTTTGTGGAATTCCTAACAAACAGTGGGTGGACAAGGCCAGACAGACGTCCCAGAGGAGACCCCATGACAACTGGGAAAGCTGCTTGCTCCCAGCTCAGAGCTCAGTCCACCCAGCTCACCCTTATCAATCCCCCAAACTCCTTGTCCCCGCCCAGCCATGACAGAGGCTAGGGAGAGGCCACCCGCCTCCTACAGCAGCAAGCAGGCTACAAGCTTCCTTCCGGCTAACATCAGCCATGCCTGCCTCAGGTCACACACCTCTGGAAACTCGACAGCTACAAACCCCAGTCCCTTGATCAGCAGCAGCACCTGTACGTCACCATCTCGTTGAGAGCCAGGAGGATGCTCCCTCTTCCTTAAAGAATTTCCTTTCTAAAGCATCCCTGATCCTAGCATCGAAAGCACGTAAATCTAACACTGCGTTCATCTCCACTGAACGCTCAGCCCCCTGAAGCCTGGGGTATCCAGCTGGCCTCAGAGTCATCTGGGATACATTTATTTTGATGAAATCGATCACATTTCTATTTAAGGGACAGAATTTTTTTCCGCCATACTGAATACAGCTGTGTTTACAGGGTTCTGTAGGAGAAGAAGAAAACAAAACGGCACAGTGAGTCTTAGCCCGAGGCTGAGCACTCAGAACTTCAAGGAGTTAAAACTAAAAGGGCTTGCGCTGCCATTAAAAAGAAAAGTCTACACACAGCTGCTCTGGCCAAGCTTTCTGGCTAGCCAGGAAATGGGTGTTGAGCAGGAGCTGAAAACACTGACTGTAATCAAGCCCAACCCAGCAAAGTGACTCTCTCTCTCTCTCTCTCTCTCTCTCTCTCTCTCTCGTGTGTGTGTGTGTGTGTGTGTGTGTGTGTGTGTGTGTGTGTGTGTTACACACTCCCTTTCATGTCTCTACATGCATGCACATGCACTTAAATCCATGCCGCAAGGCTGCTATTTTCTCTGGGGACACTGTATAGTCACCCAGCCCATCAGTTTCTTCCTTGACAGTACCGGGGACACCCATGCTGCAGTTTACAGTTCCTCCATGCCTGTGCTGGCATATACATTATGCCATCCTCCCTTAGACTAAGCCGGCAGAGCCAGCAGCCATCTCCCGACAGTTAGTGTCAGCATCTCCTCTTCTTTTCTCTCTGCCTTGCTCCAGCTCTGCCCTGTCAGGCAGACACCGCAGATACCTGGGTCATCCATCTTCAATTCCACTCTCTGGGAAAATGCCACCACGTCCAGGCCTGAGTTGTCCGCTCAGACTAATCCCAGAGAGCAGCCAGAGCTGGACGCATGAGCCGTGGGCTGTGGCTGCCCTCGCCTGCGACTGCCCTCGCCCTATATGCAAAGCATCGATGGGCATTGATGTATAGTATTCCTAAGTCCCCCTCTTTAGTCCTGTGCATGCCTCTAGCACCCCATCCCAGTCTTCTGCAACTTCACCCTGTCTTCCAAAACCCCCATCCAGCTGTGACCATGGCCAGAACTTGGAGCAGGTCCTTCTTCTTCTTCACGGCAGCGCAGGCAGGCAATTCCGGGGTTCTTGGGTGTACGGTGGGCCGTCTCAGGAACCATGCAGGTGAGGCAGGCGAAGCTTGGTGTGTCCACAATGATGCAGCCCTGAAGCTGTGAAGAAGACGGTCTGGCTTCAGAATTTCAAAAAAGAAAAAAAAAAGAAAAAGAAAAAAAGAAAACAGCGCAGCTCGGCGCCTGTGGGGGTGGGAAAAAAAAACACAGACACAACCAGAAAAAAAAAAGCAATAGCTAAAATCAAATTTCAAAACAAAAATAGGAATACAGAGATCAGCATACTTGATGCGACTTTTATTTCTAACGTTTTCTTGGTTTATTGACCTCCCCACCCCCTCCAAAAACTCCCCAGTCCCTGAACGCCCGTCTGTCCACGAGTGCCGAGTCTCAAATGCGGTTGCTCCACAGTGCCGCAGACCTACATCACATGAGGAAGCACATGACGAGCCGGAGTCGGCTGCTGCTGTGGTCAACTGTTCCGCCGAGGCAGAAGGGGGGTAGGAGGCAGTGCCCCTCTCACGCTGCCAGGAAGAAATTTCCTTAAAAGAACAATGGGAGGGCGGCATCTCGGAAGAAATGCTTGAGCAACGTGGACTTTCCCATATACACACTGATGGAGAGGGACCGTGAGTACTTGAAGACAAGCGGAGGATGCTGTACCGCAGACACAAGCTGGATGGCAGCAATATTATTTCTTGTGTGTGCTCGTCAAAGCTGATGCCGTTGAAGTGGATTCCTGAAAAGCACATACCATGTCTTCTGAGCATGATCAGGCTTGGAAAACCAATTCTATTATCTCTCCTTGCAATCTGTATCTGAACCTGCGTTGTGAATAATTTATTTTTAGACTAATAAGAGGCTTGCCAAGACTGCACCCTTTCTATGGCAAGCGGCGCGTGCAGTATTCACCCAAGTGAGAAAACCTTGTCCCTTTGTAGGGAGAAGAGAGGAGATGGTGTTTGGTGGTTAACAAAATAATAAAACAGTTGCGACTTCTTATTTAAAGGCATACATACGATAGTAAGGTTCTCTCAAAAGTCACCATTCAAAACAAAGGAGGCATTTCTGATCCTTTAAATTGACAGGTCGCTGGTTTGCACGCTGGCATCACAGGCTGGCATCTCACGCTGGCAAAAGGGGATGCTGTTTTTCTTACCCTGGACAAAGCCCTTGAGCCACTCAGATATTTTTACTTTGCAGCAAAATGACAAGCAACAACTGCTTCCCAGCATACCCCGCAGCAAAGGTGCTGACTGACAACCACTGTTTCACTAGGAAGGACACACATCGGAGAGAGATGACCTCGGGGTCTGTATCACTCATCCCACAACTAAGCAGGTGGCCTATTTGGACATTCTCAAAATGCAAGAAATATGCCATTTAAAAAAAAAATACGATCCCACTGGCTGATCAGAATGGGAGAACTGTGAGTAAGTGAGGTAGATGGCTGTCTGCCTCCTGTATCACTTGACCGCAGTCACCCAGACAAAAGGCCATCAGTTCCTTGGCGGTGCTCACATCAACCTTCCTCTGCATCCCTGGGTAATGGGTTATTCCAGACCCGGGAATTCTGTGGAGCAAGATAGGTTATGTTCTCAAAGTATAGCGATTGCCCCTCTCTTCTTTCCCTCTAAAGACAACCTTCTCTCAGTCTTGTTACGGCAGAGTCAATCCTGGAAAACTCAGCAGACACGTGTTCCTCTCCACCCGCCCCATCCCCTACAAAGTCTGATAGAATCCATCTTTACAAGTGGCCCTTGAATTTCAGATTCTTCTCCCTTCCTTCCGCCACATGGCACCGCTTCTTATCTCAGTCTACTCCCAAGCACTCCCACTAAACTGCTGTGTTTGCGTCATCCAAAACCACTGTCTGCATGCTCAGGATACCTCTTTGCCCATCACCAAGGCTGGCCCGTGATTTCCTCATAAGCATATGCTACCAATAAATGGTATTATCCGCTTGTATAACTATTTAAGCAAGCTGGTCTACTTTGTGTACATCCTTCAGTGAGTAACAAAAAAAAAATTCTCTGGCTTCGTTAAGAACTGTAGAACAAATGTGTATGAGCCTCGCCCCACCCTCAGGAAATGTATGCAAAGGATGAGCACCATGTTTTCTGTTGGCACTAAGCTTACCTTGCCTTCAGTGGCAACTATTCCTGAGTTTTATTCCTCATAAAGATAATAAATGGGTCTGCATGTGTCTGAAAGCTGTGGGTAGGAGAAGAAGCGCTATAGAAAAAGCTGAAAGCGAGAAATAGCTTCTACAGAAACACCTGGATAGGGGCCTCAAGGTCCCAATTCGCAGTGAAAACTTTCAGGCCAGGTGAGAGGCTGTGGTGCGTAGCTAGGTTATTAACGGCAACACCAATAACTGCGCGTGATCACTTGTTACGCACCAGAGTCTATAGGAAGCCCTGGAGAGCCATTACCTTACTACTTACTCGTAGCAATCCTACAAGCGAAGCACTTTTAAAATAAATTATTTTAATGAAATCAAAAGAGAAGCAGGTACAAAGCCTAAATACCCCCAAAGGTGACTGGAAAGACAGACCTGGTTTTGGCAAACTAGTTTACAGAAGTGGTACTACACCAAGGAGAGCCACATTCTAAAGCTTTTACCTCCCCCACCCCTCCCCTTTAACCTGGAAGAATAACAACCCACCTGTAAGAAAATGAATCTGGCCAGGCAGTGATGGCATGCACCTTTAATCCCAGCATTTGGAAGGCAGAGGCAAGCGGATCTCAGTGAGGTCGAGGCTAGCCTGGTCTACGAAACAAGTTCCAGGTCAGCTAGGACTATTAAAACAAAGAAACCCTGTCTCAGAAAACAAAAACAAAAAAGTTAATGAATCCAGGAGTCAAGGCCAAGGCGGGTAGAAAGGGTGAGGATCACGGTACACAGTACACGGTACATAGTGCTTCCTTTTCTAAGATGCCCCTATGCTGAATGTGGGTGACGTGCAGAAATCAAACACTGAGAAGAGCACAGTTTGGTAGGCTGATAGCACTTAGAGCTGCTTTGTGCTTCTATTTATGAAAGCTGCCTCTGTCTGTGAGGCAAAGAAATGGCCCTGAACTCTGCTGGGGCTGGGGAAGGAGATGAGATGGATTCTGGAGACTTTAGGAAGAAAGCTGGGATTACTAAAGACAGCGAAACCGACTTCCCACTAGGAGAATGCTTGGTACAGTTATTCTTTAATATCTTGAGAATAGAATTTGCTGTTGCCTTGGCTAACTTAGTACTCACTACGTAATCCAGGTTGGACTCAAGCTCACAGTTCTGCTGCCTGAGTGTCCCGAGCTGAAACAGCGGATGTGTACCGCAAGTCCAGCTCTAGAGACATCTTTCAAGACAATGAATGGGCTGGGTGGTTTTATGTCGACTTAACCCAAGCTACAGAACGGCGGGAAGACGGAACCTTCCTTGAGAAAATATCCCCATCAGATTTGCCTGTAGACAAGCCTGTGGTACGTTTACCTAATTACTAATTGATATGCAAGGGCCCAGCTTATCGAGGGAGATGCCATCTAAGCAGGTGGTCCTGAGCTGTAGAAGAAAGTAGGCTGAGTAATCCACAAGGAGAATGCTAATAAGCAATGTTTCTCCTTCAAGGCTTCTGCTTCAGTTAGTTCCCGCCTCCATTTTCCCGCCTGGAGTTCCTGATCTGACGTCCCTCAGTCATGGACAGTGGTGTAGATCTGTGAGCCAAAGTAAACCCACCTCCCTTAATCACAGCGATCGAAAGCCTAAGTAACAGGAAAGCAATAAGAAGAAGTGATGTCACTACACAGAATAATAGGAGTTTCATGGATATCTGAGTGGCTTCGGTGGGTTGGCTGCCATCATGACCTTAAAGCAGTAGGAACAGACTCCATGCTCGGCCCAGTTTCTCGGGGATTCCTGCTTGACCCACAACTTGACCTCTCAGCCACTTCTTTCTATCTAGACTGATCTTGCTGTGGCTAGCTTTGGCTACAGGCCTACCCTGTTCTTGTCTCCTTCCTAACTGGAAGGCCACATCTATCAAGGGGATAGGTGGACAGACAGCTTCAGCATTCACATAGGCATGTAGAGAGCAAAGGGGAAAGTCGCCAGAGTGGATCGGCCTCCTCACAGTTGTCGCTCACTGGAATACTAAATTAACGAAGGTACCTCGTTTCTTGGACAGCTAATGAAGGTTAGTATGACATACTGCCTCTGGCCCTGGAAGTGAAAGGGATGTTATTGCCTCATATTATTGCTGGAGAAAAAATGTTAATAATCTTTCTCATCAGCAATAAAGAATTGCACTTCTAATACCGAGACATATTTTAGCAAAAACAGAGCAGATCACCTCTAAACAGGCTTCAAGAGCCATGTGGGAGAGCTAGGATACTGGAGACTCAGAATACATTAGGGCGAAATACTATTTAAAAATACAGAGAAAATCAAATTTAAACTTGTCTACATTTGTTTCCACCAGTTCCGGTAAGTTCTAACAATATAAATATACAAACAAGAACACCTGCTCTGGAAAAAAAGGGACTGAGTAACCAACCAGCTTAGGGTATGATCAAGGTAACTGTTTAATTCACTCACACACACACACACACACACAC